GGAGTTAGGGTGGTATAGTGGAAAGCTTTCTGCATTTGGAGTTGGAGAACCTGAAGTCATGGCTTTACTACTGACCTACTTGTGTAACTCTTAATCTCCTGTGCATCAATTCCTTGTCTGTAAAATGATAAGATTGGATCAGTTGGCCTCAAGGGTTATTTCCAGCTTTAAGCCTGTGATTTTGTGATCCCTTAACACCCTTACAGTTGTGTTGCCTTCAGCATGTATCTCTTCTATGCACACTTTGTTTAGTTGGGCTGCTTTTTCCATCTTTGTTCCCTATAGTGCAGGAGTTCTTAACCAGGGGTCTATGAATTTATTTTTTAAAAATATTTTGAAAATGATTTCAAATTAATTGATTTCCTTTATAATTCTATGTATTTTATGCATTTAAAAACATTATTCTGTGAAGGGGGTTCACTAGACTACCAAAAGTGCATGTCACAAAAAGGATTAGGAACCTTTGCCTTAGTACCATTTCTACTTCCTCTTTAAACACATCTGGCACTGTGCTGTCACAGTCCAAGTATGCAGGCTCTGCTGTCCTTGATGATAAAATGACAACGATGATGACGATGACGATAATAAAGTTTGTTAAAAGCTTTACTTATCTTTTCTATTTTGTTTGTTGTCCTTACACTTTCAACCCTACCTGCTCTTGATATAACTTTGCTTAGTTCTTTTGCCAAACTTTCTTAAAATAGATTTTGCCCTTTACTGCTTCTTTCTGTTTTATGATGCAATACTACTTATATCTTTCATTATCCTTTTCTTTAAGATTTTATAAATGAGCATGTATTCTAAACCACTATTGTCTTTGCTTATCATTTCTCTTCACTTGGCAAGTAAATCAAGTGTTTGCTGATTAAGGTACTTATCCTTTCATTTACTTGTAACTTCTTCCTTTCAGTTTTGTTTATAGAAAAAAGGTTAAGATTGAAGATTTAGTTTGTCTAAAAGTAGATCCACTTGGACATTGGACGAGACTTTCAAACAGCTGAGTTTTTAGACAGCTAAATGCTTTCTGATTCTTAGCATCCTCTGCCCTCTTTTTTGCTTCTCTACCACCACAGAAGTGGAAGAATGCTTAGGAGTAAGACCAGTTTTGTGTTTTTGTTTCATACGTTGCCATAGTCAAGGAATTCATCACCAGGTTTTTATGGGTAGTGAAGCTTTCACCTTAGCTAGGCTGGTTCTTGGAAAGCAGACTTGGTGCGTTGCATGGACCATATTTTTATTGTAATCAATAATGATGATGAAGACACTATTATAAGATTCTTTGACAGATGAAACAATAGAGAAAACTTTAATGATCTTTTGGTTGTTGTTATTAAGTGGGGCATAAAACAGAATGACATGCTCACTAGAATTTTTTCCACTGTCATGGAGGATATTCTGTGCAAAATTCAGATCAAAAAGGGATTCTCTGTAGATGGTGATATTTGCAGGTAATCCCTTATGTGGATGACATTCTTATTGCATTAAGTCTAGTACACTGGAGAATCTCCTGATGAGATCCATAATCACTAAGAGTTCAGCATAACTATCCACAGAGGAAAAACCAAATGGATGAAAAATGTATATTGTCTCTAGATTATGACACATAGTAGACACAAATGACACATGAGGAAGTAGACACTGAGCTGGGATCAGAGTTGAATAGGAGCAGAGATTATCTTTGGGATATTGTGCATTTACTTTCATTAAACCTATACTGTTCCCTGACACATGAGCCTTTCTCTTTGACACAAGTATTGTCCTGGTAATGTTTTATGGATGCAAATCATGGAACATGACAACCTTATAAAAAACTGTAATTTCAAAAAACAGTGGAGAGATGGATGATGAAAGGCTTGACACTTTACCAGTTATGACTTGAATGCAAGAAGTGTTGTAAAAATGGAGTAGGTGGGCTGGTCACAAGTCAGGAATAAAGATTATAGGCGAATAGCAGTCCACATGTTGCGCTGGTTAACTTCAGAGTATTAAAAGGTCTAAAGGAAGGCCTTCACTGTGTTGGGTAGATGCACCTCTAGTGGATTTGTGGGCGGTCATTGGCAAAAATCCTATAGAATGAGAAGAAATGAGTGGGTTGCTGTACTGGTGGATTAAGTACTCACATTAATCATTGATACTTTGAATTTTTTTCACACGTGGGCATGGGGAAAAGATCACAAAAAGATTCCAGTGTGGAAATTGTTGCTCATCAGTTGGCTCTGGTGCTTGAGGTTAGCAGTCTTTTCTATCTACATGTCTGGAAGTTCTAGTGCTTTTAATCTATTCTCTCTTTTTATCCCTTGCTTCTGGAAACCTCTTCTTTTGCTTCTGTTGGCTTGAATCACTGTACCCCCAAAGTAGGAGAACTCTTGTGATTATTTTGGGGGAAGTTGGTTGTCTTTTTCCTCTGAGTTACTACTTGACCTTTGGCATCTCTGGGGCTAAACTCATAAGGGAATTATGGTACATAATTTCTTCCACTGGACATAGAGGTGAATTTGTGTTTTTCAGAGTACTTCTTTTGGAATTCCCCATTTTGACTTATTTAGTAAAGTGTTCACTTCACACAGCAGGCATGCAATAAATTCTGTTAAATGAGCAGTCCCAATTGAGAAAAACCATCTAGCCAAGTGAGACTTGAAGAAAACAGCAAGGGCAAAGCAGACAACTTTGAATTGCACTTCTCTTAACGTATTCCTTTGATTATATTAATTTGATGCCAAAGCAATAACTGACTCAGATTCTGATTCTAACTGGAATAGTAAGTTTTCACTATTACAGAGGCTCATAGTTTCAGAGTGTAAGTTGTTTTATCATTGTGTCTCACAAGTAAGAATTCTATTACACACCAAGTGATGGCTTTGGGCCAGTTAATTCATTTGGTTTCTGCATTTAGGAGTGGATCTTAAAGCAAAGGTTGGATAACTGCTTGTTGGATGTTTTGTGGATGGAATTCTTGTTCAGGTTTATATTGCAGAAGGTGGTCCCTAGGTTCCTTTTAACTCTGGAATTCTTTGATTGCTGTGTGATGGATGAGGTGTGACCCTCTGTTTCCCATAGAAAAACACTATTCCCCATAGGCAGAATGTACCCCTGACCGTACTCCAAAGCCATGTGAATGTGCTTTCAGGGATCCAAGAGAAAGAAACTTTTGGATCAAAGCAGCTCTTCACTATTAGTAGGCAAACAACTGAACATGCTGAACCGATTGATGGCAGGATCACCATTGTAGATGAGGATGGCATTGAACATTTCTGGTGCTAATTTGGATGTCTAAGACTAATCCAGGCTTAGATGTAGGACGTTGTGGCAGGCATCCTACTTTTGAGACAGTTCTTTTTGAATTTGGATACCATATGCTTGTGTGCATCAGGGATAACATGCAGGAGAATGAGAAAGACATTAAATCACCTCGACCAAGTGACAGAATTATTCTAGACTTATTGTAGAAGGACTGGTAAATTGTGGTGTGTTGAGAAAGAACAAGATAGAATATATTAGGGAAGTATGAGAGTAGGAAATTGGAGAATTCTTTGTGTTTTCACCCCATTACAAGGAGTTTTATTTTGCTGGCAGTGTTTCTCTTATTTTTATGAATGTTGTTGTTGAATGTCTACTGTTTGCAGAGTATTTTTCTTATTAAGAAAAGACTGGATCTCGCCCTGTGGATGTTTATTCTAAAATATAAATTAAATTAGCAGAGCATACATGGACATATGTCCACGGTGGTACTTTGGCAAACACCTGAATTCATTCTTTGTTTTTCTTTCTTTCTTTCTTTCTTTCTTTCTTTCTTTCTTTCTTTCTTT